AGGCATTTTCTTTTTCTTTCTTGTTTTTGAGATGGGATGTTGCCCTGTCAGCTACACTGGAGTGCAGTGGCCTGATATCTGCTCATTGCAACCTCTGCCTCCTGGGTTCAAGCAATTCTCCCTTCTCAGTCTCCCATGTAGCTGGGATTTTAGGTGTGTGTCACCACACCCAGGTAATTTTTGTATTTTTAGTAGAGATGGGATTTCGCCATGTTGGCCACGTTGGTCTCGAACTCCTGACCTCAAGTGATCCATCCACCTCAGCCTCCCAAAGTGTCGGGATTACAGGAGTGAGGCACTGCACCTGGCCAGTTTTATTTTTTTGTAGAGACAAGGTCTCCTCTGTTGCCCAGGCTGCTCTTGAACTCCTGGCCTCAAGTGATCCTCCTGCCTGGATTCCTTGAGTACTGTGGTTGTGGTTAGGGTTAGGTTAGGGTTAAGGGTTAGCGATTAGGGTTGGGGTAGGGTTTAGGCTTTAGGGTTTATAAGCTCTAGGTAACCCCAGAAAAATCTGGGCTGCAGGTTGCTTCTATAATTTTAAGGAGATAGACTCTATCATTCAAATGTATTTAAGATATATATTGGTTCGGTCTAGAAAGGTGCAAGAACCCAGTGGGTTAGAGTGAAGAGGGGCTTTCAGGTTATTGGTAGATTTAAAATTTTTCTGATTAGTAATCAGTTGAGTTATTATCAATAGAAAGGAACATCTGGGTTATGATAAGGGGCTGTGGAGACCAAAGTTGTATCATGCATATGAAGCCTCCAGGTAGCCAGCTTCAGAGAGAACAGATTGTATTTCTTACCACATTTAAGGTCTGTGTAGATGTTAAATGCTGATTGGCTTTTCCTGAATTCCAAAAGGGAGGAGGGCATAATGAGGCAGGTCTGACCACTTCTTTACAGATAATTGGGGGAGGGGCCTTTGAATTTTATTTTTGGTTTGCAAGTGCTTTTCTAGTCACTTCATGCTCTCAAGATGTGTTACCACCATTACCGTTACCTTTGACCACCTGGCTGAGATAGTATTTTCAGGTTTCTGACTGTGAAGTTACTTTTTTCCTGTGTCTATATTGTATGTATTTTTTTGGAGGAAGTCACCACACAGAGCCCACCCCTAAGGAATGGGGAGTTAGCCACACGTCCTTAATGACTGAATGTCTGTATGAGGTATTTCAAATTCTTCTGTATGAGAAAATTCCGTTCAGCCCGTCTGTGTATGTATTTAATTCAGATCGTTCCTTTCATCTTTTGGTTGTTATCCATTCTACAGTATTTTTTCTTTATTTATACCCGTGGCCACTGGGAGCTCTTTCCACTGGCTCCTTTGACATAATTTAATGTTTGTTTGTTTTTTAACAATTTCTTTGTGTTATTTCAGAAGTATCATGGCTCCTATATTTTCTGTTCTAGGGTTAGTTTCAGCCATTTCTTCAGAGAGTCCTGATTTCCTTTGCTAGAGAATGGCATCAAAAACTTATATCCAGCCACTAAATGTGGTCATTGCATCATGACCCTCACAGCTGACAGTGCAAAGAAATATATGTGTGTATTCTAACTCACATGTACCCACTTAATTATAAAGGTCTCTACGTGAAACCATCTGTGTATATATTAAGTTAGATGTGAGTTTATACTTATGTCTCCAATCAGTAGACTCTCATCCATTATCACGGAGCTCATTTTAGGCTTTCCCCATTTTGTGTCTGTAACATCTCACTGAACAGTGAGGAACCTGGCTCCCACTGTCTGCCATTTATTACATCCCCTGTTCCACTGGGAACAAGGAATTCACTTGTGATCCAGATTCCAGGTTGAGACTTAATAAGAAATAAATGTTTGGTCTCTGTCTCCAGTTCCTGGCACAGAGATCCTAAAACTTTTATAATTTTATAACAATAGTGGTACTAGGTGCATCTTAAGTTCTATTATTTGGTCTCTGGCCCTGATTCCTGACGCAGAGCTCCTAAATCCCTTGGAATCTCCTGGGTAATAGGATTGTCTTCTGTTCTAATAAGGACCCTAATAAGGTTCTAATAAGTTGTTGTTACCATGGAATCGGACAATCATTTCCATGAGGATCTAGAACCACGGGGCCTGCTATCACAGCAGGTGTCACCAACACAATCAGTACTCGGTCACAAGTACCTTTGCTTAGAACCAGGAGAGCTCTCCTCCTGTACTTGACTTCCCAAAGTGCTGGGATTACAGGCATGAGCTGCTGCACCTGGCCTGATCCCCAAAATACGGGTTTGTGCCTGGGAGAGGGCGTCCCCACATGGATAACATTTGAAATTGTTTTGTATAATCTGTGGACCTCTTCACAAACACCCTCAGAGCATGTAGGCTCATCTGTCGAGTGATTCCACATACAAGCAATCATGTCAGTTCCTTTTATACAAAGCAATTTTGTTTCTCTTTTTCTGCTATCTCTAGTCCTTTCAGCATGATGAAAACAAGAAATGGTGGCATACCTGAGCCATCTCTGTGTTTCTTATTTTTTATTTTTATTTATTTTATTATTTATTTTTTGAGAGTCTCACTCTGTCACCCAGGATGTAGGGCAATGGTGCGATCTCTGCTCACTGCAACCTCCGCCTCCTGGGTTCAAGTGATTCTCCTGCCTCAGCCTCACAAGTAGCTGGGACTATAGGCATGCACAACCATGCCCAGCTAATTTTTTTCAATTTTTATTAGGGATGAGGTTTCACCATGTTGGCTAGGCTGGTCTTGATCTGACCTCAGATGATCTGCCCACCTTGGCCTCCCAAAATGCTGAGACTACAGACATGAGCCACCAAGCTCAGCTTTACTGATTGATTTGTTGATTGAGATAGGGTCTCTGTCACCGAGGCTGGAGTACAGTGGCGTGATCTCGGCTTACTGCATCCTTGAACTCCTGGACTCAGATGATCCGCCCAGCCTCCTGAATAGCTGGGACAACAGGCATGGGCCACCACATCGGCTAATTTTTAATTCTTCTGTAGAGACAAGAGTCTTGCTGTGTTGCCCAGGTCTTAAACTCCTGGCCTGAAGTGATTCTCCTGCACTGGGCCCCCCAAACTTCCCAAAGTGCTGGGATGACAGGCATGAGCCACTGCGCCTGGCCTAATCTCTTGTTTTGTTTTGTTTTGTTTTTCTAGACTAAGTCTTGCTTTTGTCACTCAAGGTGGAGTGCAGTGGCACCATGTCTGTTCACTGCAACCTCTGACTGCCGGGTTCAAGGAATTCTCCTGCCTCAGCCTCCTGAGTCGCTGGAATTACAGGCGCCCACCACCATGCATGGCTAATTTTTGTATTTTTAGTAGAGACGAGGTTTCACCATGTTGGCCAGGCTGCTCTTGAACTCCTGACTTCAGGCGATCCGCCCGCCTCGACCTCCCAAAATGTTGGGATTACAGGTATGCGCCACTGCATTCAGCCCCTTAATCTCTGTTTTAAGGACTGATATCTCTTCCCCAAAGGTGGGTTTGTGACTGGGAGAGGGCACCCCCAGGTGGACAACATTTGAAATTGTTCCGTATAATGGCTTGATAACCTTATTGGAAAAGCCACCATCCTCTTCCCAGATCTTGTCTGTGGAATGGCAGCTGATTGGTAGGATCACAGAGGTGGGAGATCACCACCATCCAATTTACCACTCGGGGTGCACGGTTTCCCATGAACTGGAAAGCTCTGTCCTCACGCCTTGCACATGCAGAACTTGGTAGACAGGAAGCTGTTGACACACATCTTGAGACACCAAAACCCAAAGAGTTCTTTGCCTTCTGGCTGGGTGACTGGGGGCTTTGGTTTCCCTAGGCCTGGGTGTCCTCTGACCATCCGGTTGCCTTCCCTGCCCGGAATAAGTTGCGCCTGGTGCAGTGGACAGGACTCGGTTCCTCTGGACACTGTGAGTGCTGTGTCTGGCAGGAGGAGTGTGGGAGGGAGAGGGGAATGGCGGCCACCCTGGCCCATAAGGCAAGCCAGCATCAGCGCTTGGGGCAGATGGGGACTCCATGCAATGGACTGGCACGTGCAGAGCACGCCATCTGCGTGTCACTGGAAACAGACATCGTGCTGCCGTTTCTGTTAGCCGTTTAGCAACCACTCACTGGGCACCCACTTTGTGCCATCCTGGACGTTCAGCAGGGATGCTAACACAGTGATCCAAGCTTTTTGCCACCAGAGACTGATTTTGTGGAAGACAGTTTTTCTATGGACCAGGGTGGGGTGCATGGTTTTGGGATGATTCAAACATTTTACATTTATTGTACATTTATTATTATTACACTGTAATATGTAATGATTTCAGATTGTATTCCTGCAACTGGACGGTCCCATCTGGGGTTGATGGGAGGCAGTGACAGATGATCAGACATTAGATTCTCATAAGGAGCATGCAGCCCAGATCCCTTGCATGCGCAGTTCACAATAGGGTTCATACTCCTATGAGAATCTAATGCCACTGCTGATCTGACAGGAGGCGGAGCTCAAGCGGTGATGCAGGTGATGGGGAGTGGCTATAAACACAGATGACACAAGGCTTGCCTGTCCTCTGCTTACCTCCTGCTGTATGGTCCAGTTCCTGAGAGGCTGCAGACTGGTAACAGTCTGTGAGCTGGGGGTGGCGGACTCCTGCTGTAACAGATCAGGTCCTTGTCCTCATGCAGAAAGCCCAAGATGATAAGCATGGCAACATTTTGGTCAAGTTAGAAAATGGCATCACTGCAAGCTGTGCATAGTGGCTCATTCATGTAATTCTAGCACTTTGGGAGGCTGAGGTGGGTGGATCATGAGGTCAGGAGTTCCAGAGCAGCCTGACCAACATGGTGAAACCCAGTCTCTACTAAAACACAAGTATTAGCCAGGTATGGTAGCATGCCCCTGTAATCCCGGCTACTCGGGAAGCTGAGGCAGGAGAATCACTTGAACCCAGGAGGCAGAGGTTGCAGTAAGCCAAGATTATGCCACTGCACTCCAGACACAGTAACAGAGCGATATTCCATCTTAGAAAAAAAAAAAGAGAAAGGAAATAAAGTATCATAATTGCAAGCATCATTGCACGGTAAGACTCCCCAAACTCAAGTTACCTGGGCTTGCCCCTCCACCCCATCCTTTTGTCACCCCACGGACCAAGACACCCTCCCCCTTGTTGTACAGAAGAACGTAGGCAAACTGCGTACCTGAAAAACACTCACCTCGTGGTAAAAATCCTCGCCTGTGGTGCTGGCCAGCCCCAGCACTGACCAGCTAGTTGATCCTGACAAGTAGATCATCTCTCTCAGCTCCGTATTTCCATCTGCAAAAGGGGCCTATCAATCATCACAGCAGCCGATTGTGAGACTGGATTTAATGGATCTGGGCTGAGAGCTTTGATTTTTAGAAAATCTTTCAGGAGATTCTGTGTTAAGGATCAAGAACCACTAATCTAATCACACGTGTCACAGTGAAATATTTATTATTGATTATAACGGTTATAATTATTATAGTTATATAATTAAAAGTCAATATATAATCTATATTCTAATAAGTATTTAACATTATTTGAGATGGAGTCTTGCTCTGTCATCCAGGCTGGAGTGCAGTGAGCAGTGCAGTCTAGGCTCAGTGCAACCTCCCAGACTCATGCAATTCTCCTGCCTTAGCCTTTAGAATATCTGTGATTACAGGTGCCCACCAGAGGACTTGGCTAATTTTCATACTTTTTAGTAGAGATGGGGTTTTGCTATCTTGGCCAGGCTGATCTGAAACTCCTGACCTCAAATGATCCACCCACCTCGGCTTCCCAAAGTGCTGGGATAACAGGCGTGAGACATTGCGCCTGGCCACAGTGAAATTAATAACACCCCCTTCACTCTCTGGGAAGACTGGGATTAGAATGTAATTTATATCAGAAGTTCATTAACTTTTTCATAAATGACCAGATTATGCATATTTTAGGCTAGTGGGCCAGTTTGTCACAACTGCTCAAAACGTGAAATATAGAAATGAATGGATTTGGCTGTGTTCCAATAACACTTTATTGATAAGAGTAGGCAGTAGGCAGGATTTGGTCTCTGGGCCATGGTTTGACTTCCCCTGGATTATTAGCCATGGGACACAGAAAGAACAAGACCCCTGCAGGGTCACATACAAGCCAGCTAGTAACAGGACCGTTTGCTGAGTGGGAGAGATTTCCTGCTGCAGTTTCTGCCCCTGGCCTCTCTGATGCAGAGGCTGGCCAGGTCAGGGGTCTCCTGTAACTGGACTCTTGTGCCCTGCAGCTGCCAAGAAGGACTGCATCATAATACATGGTGCCATCCTCACCTGGTTCCGGGAAAGCCCTCCCTCCCTCCACAGGTACAGAATGACACTTATGGAAACCAGCCTCATGTTTTTAGGAAGAAGCTGCGTGGGGTTCCTGCCACCTTCCACCTGAGAGATGGTGCATGTTTCTAGCCTGGAACAGGAGGGTGGGTTAGGTTGGGCTGGGCCTTTGCCAGGAAGGTTCTCAGGATGCTCCTGTACCTCCTGCAGGTGGGGACCTGTACAGCATGGGGACCAAGGCATCTCAGTCTCCCCCATCGGGGAAACACCCCTCTGCTCCCAGGCTGGCCAAGACATTGCCAAGGTGGGGCTGGCTGAGGAGCCCCACGGTTCAGCCTCATCAGCTTTGCTTACTTCTGTGCCACCTTGATCAGTCCCAGATCATTATCACCTACAGCCTTCAACTCTATGGCTTGGGCTTTGTGGCCAAAAATCCCAGGCAGCCCTGAAACTCTGTAAGAAGGCAGAGAATGTGTCCTGGGTTGTCGTTCACTCACGTCACTGATGGAGCACTTGCTAGGGGCCATGCTCTGTTGTAGGTATTGGGGAGTGGGTGAAAGAAAGGGACAAGGGCCCAGCTCTCTTGGGGTGACATGCTGATAGAGGTCAGGCCCAAACAGGAAGCCAGGACAGGGGGACAGAGCACGACGGCAGGCCTAGTGAGGGAAGGTTTGGCATCCAAGCCAAGATCATAAGGAAAGACAGTGAGCCATGCACGTGTATGGGAGAAGAGCGGTGGTTTTTGTTTGTTTGTTTTTGGAAACAGAGTCTTGCTCTGTGGCCCAGGCTGGGATGCAATGGTACAATCTCGGCTCACTGCAACTTCCACCTCCTGGGTTCAAGCAGTTCTCCTGCCTCAGGCTCCTGAGTAGCTGGGATTACAGGCACGTGCCACCACACCCAGCCAATTTTTGTATTTTTAGTAGAGACAGGGTTTCACTATGTTGGCCATGCTGGTCTCCAACTCCTGACCTCAAGTGATCCACCTGCCTCAGCTCCCAATGGCCTGGGATTATGGGCACGAGCCACCATGCCTGGCCTGGGAGAAGAGCCTTCTAGGCAGTGAGAGGTTGGTGCAAAGGTCCTGCCTGGGTCAGAAGTATGCCTGGACTTGGGTTTTCAAACCTCAGCATCGTTGATATTTTGGGCTGAAACTTCACTGCTGGGTTCTGTCCTGTGTACTGTGGGATGTTGAGCGGACGCCCAGGCTCTACCCACTAGATACCAGCAGCATCCCCTACCAGTTGTGACATCCAAAAATAGATCTTGCCAAATGACTCTTGGGAGATGCAGTCACCCCCAGTTGAGAACCACTGACCTATTGTGTTCAAGAAACAGTAAGGAGGTCAGCGTGGCCAAGAAAGAGCAGCCGACGCGCGGAGTGGAAGGAGCCGGGACGTTCCTGATCGTCAGGACTTCAGCTTTGACTCTGAGTGAAATGGGAGTGCTGACGGGTTTAGCTGGTAAGTGTCAAGAGCTGGCTTGGGCTTTTTGTTTGTTTTTGAGATGGAGTCTCACTCTGTTGCCAGGCTAGAGTGAAGTGATATAATCTCAGCTCACTGCAACCTCCACCCTCCTGGTTCAAGCCATTCTCCCCTCTCTCTCTCCTCAGCCTCCCAAGTAGCTGGAACTACAGGCATGCACCACCACACTCAGCTTTTTGTATTTTTAGTAGAGACAAAGTTTCTCCATACTGATCAGGCTGGTCTCAGACTCCCAACCTCAGGTGATCCGCCCACCACAGCCTCCCAAAGTACTGGAATTATAGGCGTGAGCCACTGCTGACTTGGTTTTAACAAATCCCTCTGGTTACGGGGTGGAGGAGTGGGGCGAGACCAACAGCAGGGGCAGGGAGGGGAGGAAAGAGCCTAGCTATTTCAAAAGCCAAGACAGGAGGCCAGGCTGGTGAAACCTTGAGGCTACTGCCAACTGTGTGTGCACGGGGGTGGACCTGCAGGCATGTGTGTGCATGGTGTGCATGTGTGCACACATGTATGCATGTGACCGTGGATTGCTTGGGTATGCACATACACTTTGTGTGGATGTGTACCCACATTGTATGTTGCTGTGCACGCTAGCATGCTTGTATGTGTGCAAATGTACATGCATGTGTGCATGCTTTGTGTGTATGCGTGTGCACATGCACAGATGTGCACAGGATGGTTGCTCAAATAGCCAGACAAGGACTGGGAAAAGAACAGCCCCACAGGTGCTCTTAGACTCCCAGACAGGAAAGCCGGGCTCCTTCTGGGGCGCACCCTTCCTCAGAGATGGGGACTGGGCCCCTAACCAAGGTCATGTCTCCTTTCTGGCATTGAAAGAATAAACCTCACCATGCCCCAGGGCTGATTGCTCGCTGTAGTCGGTCCAGTGGGGACAGGGAAGTCCTCCCTGCTGTCTGTCCTCTTTGAGGAGCTGTCAAAGGTGGAGGGGTTTGTGGGCATCAAGGTGAGGCCACCCTCTGCCTGTCTGCTAGGATGTCCCCATCATCCTGAAAGTCCCTTTCCTCACTGCCTTTCCACCCCTCCCCATCCCAGCCAAGTTCACTTTCATTCATTCTCTCCACCCACCACTGAGAGCCCAGCTCCCACTGCTCCTCAAAACCTGTCATACCTCTGTCCCCATCATCCTTCTGTGACCAAAGTAAGTTGTGTTTTAGTGTTCGGTGGCCTACACGCTCTAGGAGGCCTGGATGCAGAACACCTCCGTGGTGGAGAACGTGTGCCTCAGGCAGGAGCCGGACCCAGCCAGACTGCAGAGAGTCCTAGAGGCCTGTGCCCTATGGCCAGATGTGGACAGCTTCCCTGCAGGAGTCCACACTTCAACTGGGGAGCAGGTGAGAGAGTCTCGGGGTCTTTTGGGTCAGGGAGGCACTGCAATTGGGAGTCATTTTGGTCCCTGACTCATGATGAGCAGTATGATGGAGAAATGCAGGGAGTGGTCAGGGAAGTAGAGAAGAAGGGCTCAGTTCAGGGTCAGGCACATACTAGGTGTTCAATAAATAATCATTAATCACTAAACGGAAACGGATAGAGAGGTAAGGAGTTGCGGTAGGGATTAACGATGAGGGGCTCTGTGACAACTGAGTGAGAAGACTAGGCTCCTGTCTTCCTCTGCCCTGCCTTGCTGGGTGACGTTGATCTAATTGCTTCCCCTCTCCGGGCCTCAGCAAAGGGTCTGGACAGAGATATCCAAGACACAGGATATATGCATCTGGAGCTATGGATTGGGCAGGAGCTGGGAAACTGTGACCCCCAGGCCAAATCCAGTCCTCCACCTGTGTGTGTTTTGAAACGGAGTCTCACTCTGTTGCACAGGCTGGAGTGGTACAATCTTGGCTCACTGCAACCTCCCCCCTCCAACATTCAAGAAATTCTCCCACCTCAGCCTCCTGAGTAGCTAGGATTATAGGTGCATGCCACCACACCTGGGTAATTTTTGCATTTTTAGTAGACAGTGTTTCCCCATGTTGGCCAGGCTAGTCTCGAACTTCTGACCTCAGGTGGTCTCCCCATTTTCCTGAGTCAAAGTCCAAGTCATGACGATCCCTGGCAAGGTCCCTGTCACCTTGCTCTGGTATCCATCATCCCCATCTCCCATCGTTTTCTCTTGGCTTCACTCCAACCTCCTGAGTGTCTGTGATGTTCCCTGAATCCCCGCAGCACACTCGGGCCCCAGCGCCTTTGCACCTGCAGTTCCTACTGATGGAAATCTCTCCCCATGAGTTCCCAGGGCTCATCCCTCACTTCTATCACATTCACAGAGAAGCCTTCCCTGATGACCTTATCCAGCACCACCACAACAACCCTGCTCATGCTAGTGCGCCTTACGCCCACACCTGCTTTTCATTTTGTTTCCTTTCTCCTTTCCCTTATTTTCTTGAGACAGGGTCTTGGTATGTTCCCCAGGCTGCAGTGCAGTGGCGCAATCTTGGCTCACTGAAACCTCGACCTCCCAAGTTCAAGCAATCCTCCCACCTCAGCCTCCTGAGTA